CTGGCGGGACCCCTGCACGTCCCCAGAAGGTCAGCACAGGACTTTCCAACTTTTGCTTCTCGATGTTTTGTTTCCACGCTGCTGGCAGTGCTCACCTAGAAGCTGGTCGGAAGAGCAGAATCTTGGGCTCTTCCTACACCTACTGAATCAGAATCTGCTTTTAAGCAACATCCCAGATCGTATTCATGTTTGCAAAGCACTGATTTAGAAGACTTGCAAAGCGGGGAGATACGGTAACGATCGCTTCTAGCTACATATTCATAATAATATGAAACAGCAATACTCAGTGAACTATGAGGTTATACGAAACATTAAAAGGAAAAATAACTCAAATGAAACCTTAAATGAGTTTAAAACACCACCCAAGATGGTGACAGTGGTTGTATCTGGGGCAGTAAGATGACAGCGGACTTTCCCCCTGATTAACTACTTGGCTGTTTTCCTAATGCTTTTAAAGGGCCTTCTCCATACGAGGAGAAAATAAAAGAATAACAGCTCCAAGTGTGAAGCCAGAGGAAAGCATAAAGCTTCGAGGGTCCACATCTGGATCCACTCTCTGCCCCCAGTAGCTGGCAAGGTCTGTACGGAATGCACAGCCAGGCAGCAGGGACGGAGACGGACAGCAGAGAGCTTTTCGTCTGGCCAAGCCAGGGCAGTGCACGATCGGGTGGTGGTGGTGTGGGGGGGGTACCCTAAAACTACCGAAGCCCCGAGTCTTTCCCTTCCCTGTCCTTTGGGAGACCGTGGGGGTCCAGGGTGGTCAGCTGAGCGAAGCAGAAGTGTGGTGCCTGAGGGAGGAGACTTGCCCCGAGGGCATGTGCTGGGCACGAGGGGAGGTTCAGGAAAGCCTGGAGAGAGGGACCAAATTCCCTGAAAACAATTTTTTTCCCCCTTTTTTAAAGTAGGCTCCAAGCCCAACGTGGAACTTGAACTCAGGACCCTGAGATTAACAGCCACATGCTCTGTGGACTGAGCAGCCAGGCGCCCCTCCCTGAACACCATTTAAAGCAGTTTCTACCACATGTTCATCCAACACTCGGAAAAGGAGGAAGCTGTCCCAGGAGGTACCCTGGATCTCTCAGCTGAAACGTCTTTGTCCTCTGGCTCTCCTCCAAAAGAACAGGTGTGAAGGAAGGAAGGAAAGGGGGTCAGGAAAGTCCCTGTTGGAGCTTCCTCAGCCCTGCAGTGACCTCTGCCCAGGGCTTGGCAAAACAAGGAGGCTGGGACCAGCTGATGTGACCCACGAGATCTGGGCAGTGGACAGAGGGAGGAGCGAGAAGGTCCTACAAGAGGACCCAAGTCCACATACACTTTCCAGGCTTGACCACAGGACCTCAGTGCCCAGCCCTAACCACCAGGCTCCCTGGAATGCAGGTGGGGGTGGTCTTGGGAACCTCGCCACCCGGGGGGGGCCCCTGTTGGCGGGAACTGGATTATTCTTCTTCACATCTGTACCGGTTAACCACGGTTCCCGGAACATGGCTGGCGCTCAGGGCATGTCTGCTAAAAAGTTCTACTGGCTGAGGCTGATTGGCATGGCGGCAGGAGTTAGCCGAAGACATCTTACGCCCGCCCCTCACCCTGGGAATGTCCTGGGAGCTCCAGCCCTCAGCTCACCCCCACAGCTGCCGCGGGCCTTGGGGGAGGGACGGACAAGTAGGAGAAAGGTAGGGGCATCTGAATGGCCAGTAAGTACCCCCTTGACTGAACGCTCAGTGACAGAGCTTTCAAACACAGTAACTTGGGATGCCTGGCTGGCTCGGTCAGTAGAGCATGCCACTCTTGATCTCAGGGTTGTGAGTTCGGGCCCCAAATAGGGATGTCGTTTACTTAAAAAAAAAAAGACAAAACAGAACATCAAAGTAGTAACTCATCCCTCTCCCCTGCGCCAGCCCTCGTAAGGCGCCCTCAGTCACTCACCGCCACAGGCAGTCCTACACCCCCTCACTCATCTGCAGTGACCATCGGTGGCTTTGCCTGCCCGGCACCTATTTCCTTTCCCTCTGGTTGGGGCAGCCTGATTTCCTGGCGGGGGGAATCACTGCCACCCCAGTGCAGCAGGCAGCCAGCCTATGCGCACCCCCGTCCCCTTGGGGACTGGCTGGAGGCGGCATCTCTACTTGAGCTGGGCTCGGGCGGGGGCGGGGGGGGCGCTGAGCCTGGACTTACAAACTCGATCAGCACCCCTTCCCGTCTGGCCACAGTCAACTCCCCCAGTGGCCTGTGCTCTCACTCTCTGCTCAGTTCCCCACGCTGGCCATCCAGCCGCAGTACATCTCTCCCCTTTCTCCAGCTGTTGTGGTCTCCGAGGCCCAGAAGATGCCCCCACACCCCACTCATTTCCTGCTCCGGGCACACAGGCACTGCTATTCTGTGAGCAAACTGTGCTCACCCTGACCCCAGGGCCTTTGCATTTGATGTCTGCTCTGCCTCAGATTACTCTTCCAAAGAGCTGCTTGCTTCATTTCCTTCCTCCCTCCAGATCTTTGCTCGGATGTCAGCTTCTCAGAGACCTTCCCTAACCCACCCTTTTATTTTTTATTTACTTATTTCTATTTTTATTTATTTTTTAAAAAGTAAGCTCCACACCCGACATGGGGCTTGGACTCATGACCCTAGGATCAAGGATCACATATTCTATCGAGCCAGGTGCCCCCACACCCTTTCAAAAATGAAACCCTCCCATGGGGCGCCTGGGTGGCTCAGTTGGTTAAGCGTCCGACTTCAACTCAGGTCATGATCTCACAGCTTGTGGGTTCGAGCCCCGTGTTGGGCTCTGTGCTGATAGATGGCAGCCTGGAGCCTGCTTTGGATTTTGTGTCTCCCTCTCTCCCTGCCCCTCCCCCACTCACACTCTGTCTCAGATGAGTAAACATTAAAAAAAAGTGAAACCCTCTCCAGCCCCATGTTCAGCCCCACCTCGTTTTCTTGATTTGTTTCCACAGCACTTATTACCTAAAGCAGAGATCCCATAGGCCAGACCCAGCCTGCTGCCTGTTTGTGTAAATAAAGTTTTACTGGCATACAAGTATGCCCATTTGTTTATACACTATCTCTGGCTGCTTTCAATGGCAGTTGAGTTTTTGCAATAGAGACCAATGCCCTGTAAAGCTTCAAGTATGTTCCACCTGGTCCTTTAGAGAAAAAGCGTGCCGATCCTGTTTTTTTTTTGGGGGGAGGGGGTTAGCTTTGTTCATTGTCATATCGACAACCAAGTAACAGCACCTGGCATTTAAGAGACTCTGAACACACATCTGTTAAATACACACAGAGACCAACCAAATGCATTAGACTACCCTGTCTCAGTGTGTGCTGTGCTCTTGGCCTTTCTTCTCTGTGCATCCTTCATGGCCCCAGTCAGAGGTCCCCCAAAATGGAAGCATTCCCTCCCCCGACCCCAACAATCAGTCCCTTCTTCCTTTGTGCACCTCTGCTGTCAGCACCTCTCACCGTACGCTGAAATGACCTGTCTACCTGTTGTTCTCTTGCCAGACTAGACTAGGGGTGCTGGACACAAGGTGTTCATCTTCTTTGTGCCAGAATCACGGATGCCCGGCTCACTGCGGGGCTCCCGAACGACGGCTGACGGAATATGTGCGTGGATGAAAACATGAACGAAGGAGCGCGTCAGTGCCCCAAGACTCAGACGATAACCTGGTGTTTTGGATCATACACTCCGCTTCCTAAAGGTGGGCTAGACAGACAAGCGGCTCAGAGGGTCAACAGAGTCACATCTGCAAAGGGCTCTGAATTCCTGAGAGCTCTAGGAAAAACCGAGACACTTCTTCCTGGCTGCCTGGTGGTCCCCAAGATGTGTCCCGCACCTGCTATCCTAGGGCCCAAGCACCCCTCACACCAGCTGCACTGTGGCAATCCCCTGCCGATTCATACCTCATATTCTAGGGCGAGGTCTGTGTGGTCGTCAATATCCACCTTGGCCATCACCACTTTTCCATGCTGCTTGGCCACCACCTTCTCTAACCTTGGCCCCAGGATCTTGCACGGGCCACACCACCTCAGAAGGGGAGAAAGGAAGCATCCAGTCACAAGAGTGCTCAGCAATCGATTTACTGCCTCCCCAGAAACTTCCCTTGACCCACATCTTTCTGAGGGGCCTTCTGCCCTCATTAGCTCTGTTTACAGTGTTTGAATATTAACTTGTAATGTCAACAGGTCAAATGATAAAGCCAGAACTCTGCAGCGGGGGAATTTCCAGGGGTCCCGGGCTTCTAAATCACAGTCTTCATCAGAAGACTCTTATAAGGGTTATTTCAATAGATATAAGAGAATTGCACTGTCACAGAAAAAAATATGAGATGTGAAGTTAAAAGGTTTGGGTTCCAACAAAGACTCCTCACCTATCAGCTCACTGTTCTGGGGCCTCGGTTTCCTCTTTTGAGAAAGAGAGATCATGTCTCTCCAAGCAGCGATGAGAAATCTACTAAGGCAACATGAATAAACATACTCTATAAGCTGCAGGGTTACTCTAGATGCTTCACGGACCCACAACTACAGGGAGGACAGACTAGTGGCTGGGGAGCTTCTACAACATGCTAGTCACTGCGCCAGGGCCTTCTCAGCTTTTACCGCCCAGAACCCTCAGCCCCACAAAGGAAAAGAACACGCCTTCCTAAGAAACTGAGGAGCACGCAAGTTAAGGAACATGTGCGTGGCCCCAGATCTGGCGAGCGGGACGTGGGAACTGCAACCCGAGGTTGTGTTCCAAATGTCTTCCTCCAGCCCTGGTTATCCTGGGATCCCTCAGGCCCCGCGTCAAGTGCTAGCAAGGTACCGATCACAGCTGTTCCCCTTCGGGTGGTGAGCTCTTTGGGAACAGGCTGTCATCTCCGGAGCACTAGGGACAGTGCCAGGTGCTGAATGAACAAGCTCACTGTCTTACTTCCTCGTCGAAGGAAATGAGGCATCATCCCATTTGTCACTCATTTGGGAAGTCCTCTCTGGAGTGCTCACTATACAGGGGAGGTAGAAAGCTCCGCCTTCCACGAACCCCTGGCTGATGACCCCTATTTTATGCTCAGCCTTGAAAACGCTTTCCCTTCGGGGATTTCAATTAAGGAACTCACAACACCTAAAAACCCAGTCTGCAAGAGCTTATCTCCTATTGTAAGAAGAAAGGGAGGCACAAGGAGGTCACACGGCCTGACCAAGGCCATGTGGTGAGTCAGAGAGAGTGGGAAAGAAGGCAAAACAATCTGTCTGACGTTTGTTCGTTTGTTCGGAAGGCCTCCCAGCTTGTAACTCAGGCTATGCCAGGTCTGTCCAGTTCTTTGGTAGCCAGGTGGCTGCTTAGGACCCAAAGTCTGGAAATGAGAAAGCCAAGCTAACAATTAGAAGGCTAGAGGCATTTAAGGATCCCTAAAACACACTTGTACAGCACTGAAAAGAAAACCCTGCCCATCCCCTGCGTGCTGGGATATCGCTGTGGGGACACTGATAACTTTTTGCCAGCCCTTCCCAGTTTGGGCGGCAAGATGTTAAACATCAACCTATCCGCAGGGCCAGGAATTGATATACACCACAAACCAGATGATGTGATGGTCCCTATTTTTCCTGCTTTGGTCCAAGCTGAAGGGGACTCAGCCATTTGGGCAGGGAGATACAGAACATGAGTGTTTCTCAGCACCAATGACAGGGAGCTTTGAAGACTGTTTACTAGTGTGTGTCTTACCAGACTGCACTCAATCTTTGATGGCAGGGACTGGGTCTTACCAGCCTTTGTAAGGAGACTACATCTGAGAAGCATCGAACATGGCACTGAGACACAGCAGATACTCAGTAAATACCTGACCGAGCAACACCCCAGTCTTCTGCCGACCCCTGGGACTCACTGTGCGTGAAAATCCACAACCACTGGTGTTTCACTGTTGACAACTCGGTCTTGAAAGTCAGGTCCATCCTGGATATTAAAGGTCGTTGTGCAGACTCTGGTGGTGTATATTGACCGGGCTTGGTTGGGTGTTACTGTGAGGTCACCAGGACTGCACCGCACGGCCCTGGAGGTGAGGGGTGCCCACCGACCCTGAGGCGGTTTCCTGGAGATGATGGAGGCCAGGAACCTCCTCAGGAGAAGTCGCTGAGCCATCTGTGAGGGAAAGAGGCAGGAACAGTTCGAGAAGTCAACACCGCAGGAAAAGAAAGGTATTTGGGGAGAACTGGGGGGCTCAACATTCAGGGCCAGAAGAATTCCAGGAAATGATATGTAAGATTTCTAGAGGAGGGGGCGCCTGGGTGGCTCAGTGTTTAAGTGACCAACTCTCTTGGTTGCCGCTCAGGTCATGATCTCACGGTTCATGGGTTCAAGCTCTGACAGGTTCCAGGCTGACAGTGCTGAGCCTGCTTGGGATTCTTTTTCTCTGCCCCTTCCCCACTCGCGCGCGAACGCGCACTCTCTCTCTCTCTCTCTCAAAATAAATAAACTTAAAAAAAAAAGATTTCTAGAATAGAGGTTAAGTGAAGAATGAGAATCAAAAAGCAGGAGTCACATAACACAACTCGGAAACTGGGCTGATGACAAAAGAGAAATCAGGATATTCAGAATTATAACAGAAGGGAGGGAGGAACATACATTCATGGAGAACCTGCCAAGAGCCAAGGGGGCCTTAGTTCTCCCAGATCACCCAGGAGGAAGTTTCTACAGTACTGCTCACACTACAGATAGGGAGTCCGAAGCTCAGGTAAATTGTGACACGCCCAAAGTAACCTATTAAATGAGAGTCAACACTGGAACCCAAGGCCGTCTGCAGATTCTTTATTACTCATTTTAATGAGTGTTCTAACGGGAAATTAAGGCACGAGGGAGTTATCAAAGGATCAGAAAAGAGGAATCGCAACAATTCAAGGTGGGGGGAACCAAGAGGTTCCGGACCCGGAGTGTGTGGGGGGGAATAAAAAAGAAGGGACATGCGTTGAGGGACTGGGGAATCGGACGCCGCCGGGGATCCCGGCCCTCCGGAGGACAGGTCCCCCCGCCCGGGGTCTTCGCCCGGTCGGCCGCCGGCCAGCGCAGGAACAGACCCGGAGCTTGCCTCCGCCGCGACACCACCTAGAGCCACCCCCACGAGCCTCCTACCTCCCTGCAGCGCGAGCGGAGGGATGCACGGCCCGGCCCTCCCCGTCAGTCAAGGGCACTCCTGCCGTCACTTCCTCGGGGGAGGGCCTTTCGAGCATCACTTCCGGGGACAGACAACCTGGAGGACTGCTCTCCGCAACCCGAGGGCGGCTTGGATTTTCCACCAATGGGGATGACGGACGACGGCACAGCGGAAGGGGTGGAGCCTCAGTTAGGGACCGGAAGAGAGGTGTTCTCGGGGAGGGACAACGGAAGAGGGGGCTGGTCCTTGGGAGGGAAAACCGGGAGAATGGGCGGGCCCTCGGGGGGGGGGGGGG